TCTAATTTGCAGCTTTTATACCTTTTCCCAAAAACGTAAACGATACGTAAGAATACTTAAAGTATACGTATATATTTGTAAAGTACTCGTTACTACACGTAAATTGCTCGCAATAGCTCGTAACAATCCGTAAAGCCATTGTAACACGACCCGAATGAAGATTGTAAACAACATGTAAGCACTCATATTAATCCGTAAATAATCCGTAAGTAATCCGTAAAAAGTCCGTAAACAAATCATAAACCAACCGAAACAAATCGTTAAAGAAGTCTTTACGAGTCATTTACGGATTCTTGCGAGCAGTTAACGGATGGTAAAGTGTTGATGCGAGCGTTTTACGATACTTACGGATTGTTACGACCTATTCACGAGTTGTTGACAAATAAATCCGTCGACAATCGTAAGAAGATTTTTGACATGTCAAAAATAATTGCCTCTCCTTTCACGGATCCTTACGAGTGTCTGCGAGTTGTTGCGAGTTGTGACGAGCTATTTGCGGATACCAGCGAGTTATTTACGGATGCTTGCGATGGACTACGAGTTGGCGATCCGTAAGGACTCGTAAGGAAAATCCGTGTATGTGAAGGGGGTATAAGATAGGCATGGGTTTGACAAGGTTAAGGAAAATAACTTACAACACTCGACACCGTTGGCCAGTACGCCGTTCGGACATATACCGTCAGTTGTGTATTCCTCGTAGCAATCGTAAAAGTTAAATCCCGTTTTGCAAGACAGTTCACTAAATACCATGGGAAAGTTCTTTATCATTGGTACCTGGATTGCCTGGAACAAACAGGAGAATGGTTTTAAAGATATTTATTCACATTATTATTTAACGTCCTTTCTCATTATACACACACCCAAACATACACACTCACACAAACAAAACCCAATATAATTGTGTCAATTATGTCGTTCATCCTGCAAATTGTATCTTTATAATATACATATAGACCTACATGCGTTTATGGGGCATATCAATTTATTGTACACCTTTTATTCAGGTATATTGAGACTGGTGCAAGCCCATTTAACAGCTGTAATTAATTGATATTTTTGTATTAACACCTCCCCCCCCCCCCCCCCAACGTACTGATCTCATTCATGAGCTGTTTTGGTGAAACCACCATACTAGGCTGAGGTATTACATTCAGCATACCTGGTCGCCACGTGGATGACCAGTGACCTGAGGCAATACATTTTGCGACTGTTGATGTGCAAGGTGCAAAATATATGTATATACATGTATATTTCACACACAAAAATGTCAGTAACAAAGGACAAAATATGTGTGGGTGGAGGTGGGGGGGGGGGGATGGTCGTCACACCCCAAATAATTATAAATTATGACTACTACTGCCTTTACAAATAAGATCCCACTAAAATAAGGTATTCAGCTTAAATTGGTATTCCTGTCAAGTTATTATCATCATTAATATGTTGTTTTCATTCGTTGATACCATGTTATTCTACATTGAACTTGAATATTAAATAGAGCAAATGAATTAACAATATAACCTCCTTCTAGTGAAGCCCCTAAACATACCTTGCCTCCATTGCTGTACCCGTGGCTGTTGCATATTAAGCTAGCAGTTTGCTCGTCTATGTTACATATACCTCCCGCTACACGTATTTGCGTATAAATACTACTCCCTGCCTCAAGAAACAGCACTCGCCCACTCGTATTGTCAGGAGTCGTGGTTGGAGAGATGAGGAAGGTGTCACCCGAGATATAATAGTGGGAATGAGTTAGTAATTCGTGGAACTTTGTTGTGGTGATACCTAAATGTGCATGAGTTGAGAGAGAGAGAGAGAAAGAGATACAGAAGGAAGGAAAAAATAAGCGAAGGAGGGAAAGAGAGAAGGAGGGAGAGAGAGAGAGAGAGAGAGAATGGGGGGGGGGGGGTGGTAGGTGGTTGTTGAATGAATGGCCATTGTAATAACAGTTGACAAAAGAAAAGAAAAAGCGTAGACCATTTAGCAATTCGAAAGAATTGCGCCACAATTGCGACAGAGATTTTAATCTTCATAAATGTTTTAAAAAGTTTCTAGAAATGAAACATGAAACACTCTCGACTCCTCAGCAGGAAGAAAACAATTTGCAATATGTACACGTTTGTAACCTACTTTCTCGCGCTTCATCCCTCCTTCCCCGCTTATATGTAATTTCAATACCAGGTATCTCTATACACTACTGGGGCCTCGATTCAATGCTAATCTTTGAACAATGTATTCCCATTTGATGTAAACATGTGAAGACCTGACGCATTACGCATTACGAATTATGCCATTTTCCATTACGGATTATGCCACATGAATTACGCCATTACGCCATATACGTTACACCTTCACGCCATGGTAACCATGGTTTTCTGGTCCAAATTACCATCCACCATGGTTATCATGGTACCAAAACAATGAAATATATTGTTTGATGACCTAATGTATTTCATTGTTTTGGTACCATGATAACCATGGTTACCATGGTGGATTGTAATTTGCACAAAAAACATGGTTACCATGGTACTCCTTTGCAAGGGATTACACCATTACGCCATATGCAAAACACTTACCACAAGCTACACTGGCAAAGTTGCTGCAATAAGGTATATCTTTCTTGTACCTACAGGATAACAGGGATTGTTCAGTTCCATTGCAAGCAACATTATTTTTCTCTACAGGGAAGTTCTCGGGTGGTTCCATAGTTGGTACAGAGTCGGTACCGCTGTCATAATATGACCTGCTACCCTCCCACACCATGGCATAGCCGTCGGTAAATCCCAGCTGTCTGCATGTGACCAAAGCATCCAGTGCATCCCACTCTTGGTCACAAAGGTTCTTCCATTCGCCTGCCACGTTGACTTGGACCACCCCTTCTTTGTCCGAAGTTCCCCCATACAAGCGAATGGGACCTTCAGCGGCAACTGCATAGGAACGCAACAACACCAAACACACAACAACAATAAGGTCATCATAAGTTATGTTCATGTAGCTTGTCCATGTGGAGTTGGTTTGATAGGGCTAAAAGTCAAAATTTAAAAGAACATCGAACCCTTTATAGTCCCTCCAGAAAATAATCTAACCTGCCTTTAAATTACAATTTTTCTGTCAATATTGTACTGATTATTAGGACAATCAAACCTTTGTAATAATTTGTATCGATTAAAAAGGAAAAAAAGAGAATCATGGCGAGAGTTTGAAATAAATTGGACAAAAGAGGAAAGTTATGAATATTTGTATTAGAGAAAATGTATGCGAATCTCAAATCGCCCATTTGATCAGTGGACGTATTCAACTCTCCCGTTCTTTGGATGCTAGAATATCATTTACTTATGTTTTTTCTCTGATTTTAAGCATCTTGTCCCCTGGGGCAATTCTCAAATTATATTTTGAATAGCATTGGTCCTAGAAAGAAAAAAAGATCCTGAAATTCTAGTCAGTTTGTATTTTGGAACGAATGAGAGAGTTGTACGGTAGCCTAGTACATCATACACAGGACGTGGTATTACCATTTCAGCCGATTTATAATTTCCATTATAGAGGGCATGGGCTTATAGTCATTACGACATTCTAAAATTCATAATATTTTTTATTTTGATGCGATTTCTGCAAAACTAACACCGATCTGCCTCTCATATGTTTATGCTTACTATTAGCAGAACTATTTGCTATAATAATGGTTGGATTTCAATTTAATCAACGACAACTACTGTACGACATACAAAAACAATCACATTCTAGTTCATAGCCAAGCACACACAAATAACACAAACGCATCATGCAACACGTACCTGTACCCCAAAACATTGCGAGAAAGATTACTGTTTGCAGCATGCTATATGTCGTTAACGCCATGTTGGTGATCTAACATGCATTTACCAAACATTTTTACTTGTACGGTTATTATACGTGTCCTGACATTATAATATTGCAATACAATTGAGGAAACGTTCGACAAATACTATTCTCGATGGGTTGCGGTGATTACGTCAACTATCATGCATAGTGCTAGCTATACTGCGTGTTGTTTTCAATGGAGGTTAGGGTTTTTTGGGTTTTTATCACGTGCAAAGATGTCACCAGGCGCTACTATTGCCATTGGTACATATACATGTTTATCTTATACATTATTATATACATATATTTATATATGGCTGAATATACGTAAATAAACACACATTACAAAGGACAATCAAATCCAACAATCATTTGCCGATAATCGTATATCTCAGTCGCACCAACGAGAGCGACCCCAGTCCGACTACAGACCGAACCAAAAATATACATTACCCCAAATAGCAAAAAATCACTCGTTGTGGAGTCGGTGTGGAGGCGGTGTGAAGTCGGTGTGGAGTCGGTGTGAAGTCGGCGTGGAGTCTGCGTGGAGTCGGCGTGGAGTCGGTGTGAAGTCGGTTTGGCGGTGTGACTGAAGCATTATTCAAAACTGTCAGCCAGTTAAAAAAATCTTGACATTACTCTTATTTAATTACATTGCAAGGAAAACAATCTCTCCCAAGTTCGCAGTAGTTCCTTTCTGGTCATTCTCCCATGGAATCTGCCGTTTTGATAAAAGTAGTGATATCAGAGTAGTTCAAGTTCATTGACCTGCATAAGAATTGATTAGGTATTGCACAATCACTGGGTATCGTACATCATGTTTTTTCTGCATCTCGATTGGGTGATTTCTTGAGCTGTTACACGAACGTCTTTTGTCACTCTTTTTAATAATTGGTTGAGCTTTATTGGACCAAGCTACAACTTATGAGATTTCCAAGATATTTGATTTCTAAGTGGCTCACAATTTTTATTGAGACTGGCAGCAAAACTCTGTTGGTTTCATTTTCCTTTAAGAATAAAGCATGGATAAGAATAGCTTTAAGTTTCATACCAGGTGTTATGTCATAAACATTTTTTTAAAGTTCGCAGTTATTCAGAAAAAAGCCTGTGTATACATATTTGGTTAATATTCTGTTTTACTTACTTCACATATTTCATATTTGTTTGAACTTCCAATAAAGGATCCGGCCATTTCAGCCAATGAAACCGGTTACGAGCCTTATGACCTAGGCATTCAGGATGATATCTTTATCAAGGATGAATTTGGAAATCTGCGATACGGAAAAGTAAGTCAAATTCAAATTGTGCTTTCGATTCCAACCAATATATCGTGTGTTCACTCATGACTTTCATACTAGTTTCACAAAGGACATTAGTTTATGTTTAGGGTGTTATTATTCTTTTCTTTTGATCGGCTATCTAGTGAATAACAACGAGTGTAAAGTATTGTGTACCCCAAGAACCTGTGTACCCCAAGAACCTGTTTTAAATGTATTTATTTTAAAACCAAATTATTCATGATAACAAAATAGCATGTATATATATTGAGAGCACTATACATGCATTATCTTCATTTCATCCTTTGTGTGATAAAACAGAAACCCGCCAACAGGAATATCACGGTTGATGATATAAAGCGTTGGAATATACCCATTTGATGTAGTACCCGTATTCCGTTGAGGTGTCGTATTCAAGGGTTAACCCCTGTGCGAATTTACATCACGACAATAACATTATACACTAAGTCATCAATACAAATCTTGCCACTCTCCACCCAGGTGTAAATAAATATCTGGAAATGGGTTCGGGATATAATAATTGTAGGGCCTTCAAGAAGCTTAGAGCAGCATAGATTTTCATGAAGCTTCCCTGGGTAAACAAAACTATTGTCATTATCATTAGCGTTATTATAATCATCATCTCTATTATTATCATTATGATTATCATTATTATCATTATTATTATCGTTATTATCATTATTATTATCATTATTGTGAACAAAAATGTGGACACCTCCTCGTTTACCCTTGCATTTGTCTTCATCAACAGGTGTGGCCTGATTACCCCAATATCACCGTTAACGATTCCGTCGATTGGGATACAGGCGTTAGGGTAAGAACAATATAAAACCATGCCTTCTTAAGAATGCAGCTATGAGTGGCCGATTGTTACGTGAGGTTTCCTCTACCCGTTGTCCCTGGGTCCTTTGTTCCACAACAACAGATTACACAACACAAAGTGGTTAGATTTCAAGGGCTGATCTTCATTATTGAGCTTCGTTCTTCAACTCCAAATACTAGACTAACTCGTCCTGAGGACGGTCTGTACAATGTATCTAGATTCGGTCGATACACCCATCACACTCCCCCTCATAAATTAGCACTCATACCAGTAGGAGAAGTGCTATAAAAACATTTCTTTTTCAATGTTGTTTCAGCAACTGCTGTAAGAATACAAAAACCTGAAAGTATTTATAAGTATGAGGTCTTTGTAGATTTAGAAATCTGATATACAAGTCAGCTTGTAAAACTATACAGTACCAGCATGCAAATGGCATCACAGTGTTGTCTAGTGGTTTTTGTTCATACAATAAAATTGAGTATGAACAGCTATAAGTAAAAACATTAACCATTCTTTTATCATCCTGCTATATCATTTTCATCACTGACTTTTGCAAATATCAGAAGTCGTTTGTACTAAACATAAAACAAATACAATTCAAATCGCAGAGAAGTTCACCTTAAATGACCTATCAATATCAATATGTCTTCATGCTTCTTTGCAACTTTGAATCTAAACATATTTCTTTGCATAAAAATAATACTAAGCAAACTTCAGCAACATTAAACCTGTCTGAAAGATAATATAATATAGCCTTTACGTCAGTTGTAAAAACATGTTACTATTAATCTGAAGTTTTGCATTGTAGTGTAAAACCCTATCATCTGTGTTGGTTGAGTATCGAATATTTTCAAGAATAACTGTCTTTTACTATATCCATAACCAAAGATATGGTTAAACACCAAAATCCTTTTTTGTTCCAAAATTCTTTCTTTCAATATTTATCCTGCCTTGGATAAAACATATAAATCAATTTACTGTTTCTGTTTTCATATATAAACATGCACAGACAAAATGATAACTCACTAGTCTTTCTAGTTCCTTGTGTTTGTACCAAAAGGGTTTTAACACAATAATATTATCATGCATGTTCAAATTCGTCAACGAATACGATAAGCATATCACATACATATATACACTGGTTTACAGACATCTGGAAAGCAAACATAAGAAAAATACATTTTTCTGTGATTCCAATAAACAGTTTCAATGAGTCCAATCAGTCTATGTTCACAATGCTTTGTGATTATTAAAGAAACCATCAAAGTTAAAAGTTCTGGTTCCCTTTCTCACATAGAATTCCAATGAATTCACCAAAGTTCAACTGTTCAAGTATGATGCTTTACTGTAAGTGTTCAACTGTCCAAGAAATATCCTGGCACATGTAGAATGTCCAATTTGTATTCTTGGAGCAGCAAACTCCATAGCGTCAGTCTTTGGTTTTTGTTTTTCATTCTGTTGAGGAATGTCAGGGGATTATGATCAGTTAATACCCTCACTGGATGTTGAGATCCACTGACATACACGTCGAAACGTTCAAGTGCAAGTATCAAAGTCAATGTTTCTTTTTCCACAGTTTCTTTGAGAAGAATGATATGGGTCTGTCGATACCTTCAGCGTCTGCTTGAGTAAGAACTGCACCCACATCGCTCGCGTCTACCATCATGCTGAACGGCTGGTTGAAATCCAGAGCCATCAGTACCGGATTGGTAGATAAGAGGGCTTTCGCCTGGTTGAAAGCACTCTCGCGGTCGATTTCCTTTTCAAGATTTTTCAGTTTTGTTGGGTTTGCACGATATGGTGCCTGTTTGATTGGGGTCATATCTCCCACGCCTACATCATGCTTAACAACATCAGTTCGAGAGGGAACATCAGCAAATAACTGTGGATATGCACTCAACAGCTCTTTCACGTCGCTCCTCTCTTTCACAGATAAGTGTGTTAGTTTGTTATTGATGTGTGCTAGAACCTCTGAATTTTTCAATTTCACACATGGGTTCTCTCTCTCAATCTTGCACACTTCTTTCTCAACTTCACACTTTGAGTCACATTCAACAGCACTCAACACTGGTTGTGCTTTACTCTCGTCATCTCTTCGGATATATGGTTTAAGCATATTCACATGACACACACGTCTCTTCTTCTGCCTATCTGGAGTATTGACAACGTAGTCGACATCACCAACTCTCTGAGCAATAGTGTACGGCCCAGAAAATCTAGCCTGCAGAGAATGACCAACTATCGGCAGTAAGACCAAGACTTCATCTCCTACCACGAAATTCCTCTCTTTTGATTTCCTGTCATACCATGACTTCATCTTCTCCTGAGAATCTGACAAATTCTGTCTGGCAACCTCCCACGCCTTATGCATTCTCTCACGGAAAGTACTCACATACTCCAACACATTTGCTTGTGAATCATCACACAACAGTCTCTCTTTTAGCAACTTCAATGGTCCACGTACTGAGTGACCGTATACCAACTCAAAAGAACTGAAACCAAGCGACTCTTGTACAGCATCCCGCACAGCAAACAATAACAAGGGAACTCCCTCATCCCATTGTTTCTCTGACTCCATACAATAAGTTTTCAACATATTCTTCAAAGTCTGGTGGAATCTCTCCAGTGCTCCCTGGGACTCTGGGTGGTATGCACTCGAAACTACATGTTTTACGCCCAGTTCCTTCAACACCTGATTGAACACCCCAGACATGAAATTGACCCTTGATCAGATTGTACAGTTTTTGGTAGCCCTACAGTAGTGAAAAATTTCACTAACGCCTTTGTCACATTATTCGCTGTAATGCGCCGCAGTGGTATTGCTTCGGTATATCTCGTCGCAGCGCACATTATCGTCAATAAGTATTCATTACCTGCCTTAGTCTTTGGCAGAGGACCTACACAATCTACTATGATCCTAGAAAATGGCTCATCGAACGCCGGTATTGGCTTCAATGGTGCTGCCGGTATTTTCTGATTCGGTTTACCTACAACTTGACATGCATGGCAACTTCTGCAAAAATTTGCAACATCTTTTTGCACACCTGGCCAAAAGAAATGAGAAAGAATTTTCTCCTGGGTTTTGTGAACCCCTAAGTGACCTGCAAGTGGAGCTTCATGAGCAAGGCTAATTATGTCCTGCCTGTATGTAGAAGGGACTACAATTTGGTGGACTTCTTTCCACACCTCATCTGCAGGGACATCTGCTGGCCTCCACTTTCTCATTAGCACACCTGCTTTCTTGTAATAACAAACAGGCACAGTCAATGCCTCCTCCTCAGAAACAGCTCTCTCATTCAAAGAATTCAACTGAGGATCTGTCTGTTGCTCCTTTAGCAACTTACTCTTTTTCAAAGATAGTGGTTCAGATGTTTCACTATTTCCTACACTACGATCCTTTCTCGCACTCTCATCCACATTGGAATCAGACTCATCTTCAACCAAACGACAAAAGAAAGAATCTCCCAAGTCAACATCTACATCATTAGACTTCTTCTCCGACTCAACTTTCTTTGCCATTGAACGAGTTACAGCACATGCTGGGAACACAACAGGAAATTCTGCAACCAACTCATCTGTCTCAGAACTTTCACAAGGACTAGAACTTACTACTGGACATGATACGACTCTGTCACCAGCGAGATCATTACCTAATATGATAGATACCTCTTCCACAGGAAGTGATGGTCTAACTGCCATCTTCACCATACCAGAAACAAGGTCTGACTTCAAGTCTACCACATGAAGGGGTGCTTCCACAAAGCTGTCTCCAATGCCTTTGAGCAAAACACTAGCACCAACAGAAGAACTATCACAAAAGGGCAACGCACTTTCCAAAATCAAGGACTGAGAAGCACCAGTATCCCGCAAGACTTTCACTTTTCTTGCTACATCACTCTCTGCTACAGATACATATCCTACAGACACAAACGGTTCATACTCTTTCTGAATTTTTTCCATGTTCGCTGGTACAATTCTACTTTGTGAGTTTGACACGGTTTGTACGAATGCATTAGGATGTGCACTAGATTCCTGTTTCTTAGCCTGAAGTGAAGGACACTTTGACTTTATGTGCCCATACTGTTTGCAAGCATAGCACATTCTTTCCTCTGTTACCTGTCCTTGCTGGGACTGCGGTTTTATTTCATCCTTTTCTTGTGATGAACTAGTTTTCTGGCTTTTGCTCCAGTTACCATTTTTCTTAGGTTCTACACTCACTTTGTGTGAGATTTTGTGCGTGAGCACGTAATCATCTGCGATTCTTGCTGCTTCATCCAGCGAATCGACGCGCTGCTCCTCGAGATGTATACGTACATCTAGTCGCACGCTGCGCTTGAATTTCTCAAGTAGAAGAATTTCACGCAATTTATCATAATCATGATCTACATGGAGAGATGAGCTCCATCTGTCAAACAATTGCTCTTTTTGTTTTGAAAACTCCATATGAGTTTGCGATTCCTCCTTTCGCGCTTTGCGAAATCGCTGCCTGTACGCTTCGGGTACAAGTTCGTAAGCTTTTAGCACGCTCGATTTTACTTTATCGTAATCCGACACGTCAGCCATCGACATTGCTAAGTAGGCATCCCTAGCCTTACCGCTAAACTTACTCTGAATCAGGTGAGCCCACATTTCCCTAGGCCACCCCATGCTTTGAGCTAATTTCTCAAAGTGTGGAAAGTACTTTTCCACCCCTTCCTCTTCGAATGGAGGGACCATTCTGACATGCTTCGCAACGTCAAAATGCCTATCAGCATTTCTGCTTTCTTTTCTGTTTAGGGCAACAAGTTTCTCCCTCTCCAACTCTACTCTCGCCCTCTCTAATTCGAGCTCCTTTATCCTCACTTCATCAGAAACTGAAGACCTAGCCTGAGAATTTAATTCAGGAGACCGAGACCTAGACCCTGGAGGAGTCACACTGATACTGTCCGCCGCCTCTGAAGACAAAACCTCTTCAGAAACCAGAAACTCGACAATCCTGTTCAAAATGTCCGACTTCAGCATGTACCGCTTAATGCCAACAACCTCATAATGAGCTGCTACATCTAACAATTCAAGTTTAGTCAACGAGCTTAATCGCTCCGCAGACGGATCCCTAACAAACTCCCCCAAAGAGAACTCGCTAGCCATCATGCAAAAAACCTAGCCTCCTAAATATCCTAGAAAGAACTAGAGCCTGGCTGTTATAATCCCCAGCCAACCTTAAAACACCTAGATTCTACAATATCCGAGAAATCTAGACAACCTGACTGTTATAACCCTCAGTCAAACCCTGCAAATCCATGCAGAAACATGAGAAGACAACAATGTTTTTCTCACCACACACACCACGAATGTTCGAACCTGAAACGGCTACCCCAGCGGTGCCCGACGATATCATCTTAACGAACCGACATCGACAACACACACATAGTACACACCGAACAGTCCGCTCATAAGGAACGTGTACATGTATGTAACTCGTCGCACGCAATGTAATGCAACATGCCAGCGCTAATATGATCACAAAAATCACCTGAAAATCATACTTTTCACTTTATATACCTGGCCGAGCCCCCATTTGTTACGTGAGGTTTCCTCTACCCGTTGTCCCTGGGTCCTTTGTTCCACAACAACAGATTACACAACACAAAGTGGTTAGATTTCAAGGGCTGATCTTCATTATTGAGCTTCGTTCTTCAACTCCAAATACTAGACTAACTCGTCCTGAGGACGGTCTGTACAATGTATCTAGATTCGGTCGATACACCCATCACACCGATATAAAATCTATCACAAAGGCATTACTAAAATAAAGTGTTATGTGATACAGCCATTTTTATCGGATGAGTCCTTGTCAGAACTTGTCTTATATATCTTTACATTGTTCTTGTCTTGTCTGACCTGCTGAAGGAAATCCATTCCTAATTAATGCATCGTGAATTAAAAAAGTCTCCTGGAGGGGCAAGGGGAATGTTAACTACATTTCATTACCTTTAAACACTATTTTGGCCTTGGACTTGATCATCAAGAAGAGAAGTCGTGTACCAACTGCTGCAACCGACCCTCACTTTCCGACGTTTAATGTACTTTATTCCGTTCATATTTTACTAAATTCTAATTATAAAAATGATATTAAAAAAGACCCTTTTTGGGGGAGTAAACTTTCGTTTTTTTTTACGCAGCTCTACCGTGCTTACGCGGTGTTTCCCGACTACATGAAACAGGAAACAAGAGAGTGGTGGATCAACCAGATAACAAAGTTCAAGGATAGAGTTAACTTTGATGGTCTCTGGCTGGTAAGTTAGGCACATCCTTACTTGTCTTTACATCCCTTTCCTGATAGCAGTCAGAGTCAAATTGAATAAGTACCAATTTCAAAAATATACAATAATGCAACACGTTTGAAGTGACTCGGTAATATTGCCTTAGATTTTGAAACAAAATCCTGGATTTAGCTCATGCTGCAATCATAATTATAAACTGTAAGGTCAGTCAGGAATCTCATGACTTTTACAAGCCGATCGCCTGTCTAATTTTCAAGATACTTATGATTGGACATTTAGAATTTCACTTTTCGTTTTTTAACGGTTTTTAAAACACTACAGTCTTGGGGGAAATGAGTTTGATAGAACGTCATGATCATTTTGAAGCGCAATTTTGTAGGGCTTCCTTATTGCACCACAGACACTGATAACACGTAGGGCCATGCATCTCAGATTTAACGTTGTTAAACGATGCCTTAAATGGTATAGATGTCTTCAAAACTCCAGAGCTCTATTATCACTTTCAGTCTGTGAATTTCGGTATTTTTGATATTCCCTATTAAAGGATATTAATAAAAGTTTAACTGAAAAATATACACGTTTTTATATCAATCATGTTTTATTTTATACCTGTAGGGGCTGATATACATAATAATAATAATAATACATAACATTTATTAGGCGCTTAATACTGATGTTTCTAAGCGCACAGTGTTCTGATTACGTTGTTTTACTCGTCACATAGGCATAGTATGTTACATTATGTCTCATATATTTTAATACCTCTATAGATATAATGTATAGTCCCATAATTTGTAATCTTGTAAGTCATATTGCATTGTATGAATCAATCTAACGAGTGGATTTCCGCTATCACAAGAAGCGCTATCAAACGTGACCGCACGCACATCCGACGAGACCATTTTTTTTAGGCAGCAGGAAAGCACTTATTAATCAACAATAAAAATTGTCAAATGTACCTCTGAAAAAATAATACATGATCTACCGAGTAAATTATTTTAACATAATATATGTAGTTAAAGTGCCACTATTGAAACGTATATTATCGGGTTGCAAGAAACACACTATTTTTGGTGGAAAGTGGAAAAAGTTATATTACAACTTTATGTTTTTCCGTTGTTTAGGACATGAATGAACCTGCCAATTTTCTACACGGATCTGTTGATGGATGCAACGACAACCAGTATGACTTCCCGCCGTATGTTCCCCGTAAGTTTCGAGTGCCACCCTACGCGACGAAGCGCGCCACTACGGCTGTAAATTATCAAAAGAGTTTCCATGTGTCAATTTGTTTAGATGTTGCAAGTGGCCTATTCGATCGAATTGTGACTCACACCAAAAAAAATGCAAATGAAAGGAAAACAATACTCAGTATAGATGAGTTTATCAGTATAATTATATCAAAATCTATATCAGTTTGATCACATAATTATACAAATATTAAATAATGATCATAGAAGTATGTTTCATGACAGAAACTCTTTGTAATCACAGAGATTAGATAATTACATGTAGATAAGTCTGATGTCTTATAGTACTTTGATGTCGATGAAGATTGCGTTACTTTTTTTCTACCAGAAATCTCTTGGGGAGGTCCGATATATGATAAGACGATATGTATGAATTCCGTTCAGCATTACGATGAAGGCAGGGAGGAAACGCACTACAATATGCACAGTGTTTATGGGTGGAGTCAGACTATACCAACACTCACGTAAGAACCATGAAAACTTCTCAATTCTCGTCCAATTTTTTTAAAAATAATCTTATACGTTTGAAAATTCCCACTTATTATTTACAGAAAAGCCTTTAATAGTGACTTAGATAAACGGACAAAACCATACAACACAAAAGAAAGAATAGGATAAAAAAAAACACAGAAAAAACAAAGAAGAAAAGACAAAAAAACATTACAGATAACAAAATGTTCAATCTCTTCTTCAAATTAAGCATCGTAACATTAAAATGATAAAGAAAAAGCTTACATCGTTTGTGTAATAGTATTGGTATAAAGGAACCGTTCCAAATAATTATGAATTGAACATTATTGATATTTTACTACACGATAATCAAAGAGTACATGTTCTTACCGCAGATACTATATTGGAATACTATATTATTCATATCTTCGAGGAACAAAAATAATATTAAAAACAAACATTCATCAACGTTACTTCGTGTGATTTGTGAAAAACGATTTAGGTGGATCCTGTCCATCTGTTCCGTTCTGTCTCTCCCGCTATCTCTCTCTCTCTCTCTCTCTCTCTCTCGTAATTATCTTTATATAACTTAATTCGTTTTTTTCTTCTATCTCTATCATTTTATTCGATCCTTTTTACTTTCTCCCCCCCCCCCCCCCTCTCGTCAATATACCTCCTTTCTCTTGTTTTGTCTTTCTTTTTCACCCTCCCATCCCATTACAATTCATTTTTCTCTTCCCGTCTCTCCCTTTATCTCTCTCTTTCTCTCTCTCTCTCTCTCTCTTTCTCCCCTTTATCTTCCTTTATCTCCAACCCCTCTCTCTCTCGTTCTCTTCATCTCCAACTCGCCTCTCCTCTCCTCCTGTCAGTGCTGTTCAGAATTTGACTGAAGAGAGGAGCCTGGTAGTCACCCGATCCACGGTGCCTAGCAGCGGCATGTACTCTGGCCACTGGCTGGGAGACAATGGCTCCAACTGGCCCCAACTAAGATACTCCATAATTGGTATTTTTTTGTTAAATTGACTCTTTCTTTACCATGGATCGAGTTCGTAGACCGCCACATCGTTTGGGGGTGTATGGTAGATGTACGTCTGGCAAAAAATCGACGGTGGCAGTCTACTAGTATAAGTCAAGTAAATAAGGCATAGGGTTGAAAAAACTTCCCAAATCATACTCGATTATCAGTTTATCGTCTTGATAAGTAGAATTAAATCCCGGTGACCGGCGTGCATTAAGCCACGAAAAAATACTCATGCCCCAAAGATCAATGTAAAAAAGATCAACCTTTTCATAGATCATGTACATCGAGATTCATGGCATTTAATGCAGCCATCTAAACCTGATCGGAGGTGTGCAAAGGTGAGCGTGAAAACTTAAATAAAGTAGAACAAATTCACGTTAGTCAAAGTAAGGAAAATAGAAAATGAAGTCACGAGAGGCAAAGAGATGAAAATGAAACACATTTCTGTCCATTAAACTCTGTTCATATTTGCATGCTCTCTCTCTCTCTCTCTCTCTCTCTCTCTCTCTCTCTCTCTCCTTCCCTCACTCCCTCCCTTTAAAATGTAGGAACGTTGGAGTTCAATCTCTTTGGTATCCCTCACGTGAGTACATCACTAATTAATTTTCATTGTGTTTGAAATACAAAAAAGCCTAGTCGCTATCATTAAACAAATGTAATTATCTATTCATTTATTAAGTTTGATCTCCTTCTTTCCTTACTTTCCGCCATAACTCTTTGTCTCCTTTTATTTTTTCTCGGATTTCAAACCTATAGTTCCGTTTCCTCTGATTATGTATATGTTTATACCTTTTTTTAAATACAATATTGTTCATTATCTCCCCTCAATTTCAACACCATCTTGTGCTCTCGTCACTTTTCCGTCTGTTTACGTGCCGTTTTGAAAATACATCTTTTTCTCTTAATTTATTATGATAGATTTTCTCACTTTCTTGTCTTGTTTCGTGTCAGGTTGGGGCTGATATATGCGGCTTTTTCAACGATAGCCCAGAAGATCTCTGTCGCAGATGGCATCAAGTGGGGGCGTTCTACCCGTACGCCAGAAATCACAATGGGATCAGATACCAGGTAGCACATACATTATTTTCCCCAAACAATCGTTTTCATTGAAAATCAAAAGTATAAAACATTTTATTTTGGTCTCTAGGGTTCATGTTCTTCATGGTAATAGCCTTTCCCCTGCATTGGAGATTACTGCTAATATTGATGTTAGGATTTATCTTTGTTTTCTCACTCTCTCTCTCTCTCTCTCTTTCTCATTGTATTCACTTCAAATAACTCCGTATCTATACACGAAACAAAACCTTCATTTATCTCATAATCATATTTTCCCATTTTTCAATAACTAATGCTATCTATTTCGTTTTGAAAATGTTACGACTCGAACAGCCTCAGGATCCTGCGTTCTATGGGAGGGAATTTGCCGAACACGTCCGAGATATACTCCACATCAGATACCGAATGCTTCCCTACCTGTACACTCTGTTCTACTATGCCCACACACAGGGCTCCACGGTCGTCCGATCACTGATGCATGAGTAAGTACACGCCTGTGATATATGACATTTGCTCCTACGACAATAGGCTATTTTTGTAATGTAACCAAATTGAATGCTAACGTCCTTGATGCAAATTATTGTATTCACGTGATAGTGAACTGCATACATAACGTGTTGTTAGGTAGGAGAAGTCATAGTGTGTGTCCTATCTACCAACAATAAATGCAGGCAAATCGCATTATGACTATTGATATTAAATTATTCATAACACTTGTTAACAGGTGAATGAAATCATTTTTAATAAGGCACATAATAGCAAAGATTTATGCATTAAGAAAATGATCAAGTGCTATAGGTTTTTTTCGTCAAAGTTATAGGATCACGTAGGGGCGGTGGAGCGATTTCCAAAGTGTGTGTGTGTGGGGGGGGGGGTGGAGGCAACTACAAAAAAGTGCGCTTGCTGAAAAAGAACGCCTACAAAGGGAAATCTGAGAGCAAAACTATACAAGTTTTTAGACATCGGTATATAACCATACATTGTGGTTACATTATCAGGGGTAATTTAAATATTTTCTTCTCAGGAAATTGCTCTTAGTCGCTTTAAATTAAGGGCACGTTTAAATATATAAGGCAAAGGTGAAACTTGCAAGTACAAAGGGTAATTATCAGAGGTGAAAACGGTGTACTTCTTATAGCTGAAAAGGAGCACTTATCAGAGATGAAAAAAGGCACGTATGAGAATGGGAAATGGGCATTTCCCGACAGAAAAGGGGCACCTATCAGATTTTAATAGGACCGTTTATCACAGGTGGAAGGGTGGCTTTTATGAGAAGGGGGGGGGGGGGTAACTCTTATTAAAAAGGAAAAGGGGCACGTATTAAAGTAAACGGGACACTTATCAGAGATGAAAAGGGGTAATTATGAGAAGGAAAAGGGGAAGGGGCACTTATCAGAATGAAATAGAGTATTTATTTAAAAAAAAGAAAAGGGACACGTGTCAAAATAAAAGGGGCAGCTATCAAAAGTAAAAAGGGTCACTTACTAAAAAATAGGAAGGGGCACTTTTAACATAGTTGTAGGGGCACTTGTGAAAGTAAAAGGGACACTTTCCTATGTATAAAGGGGCACTTTCGGAGAAATTGAAAAAGTGGGGGCCAATGTGCCCCCCCCCCCGTTCCCCGGTAGCGCCGCCTCTAGTGTAAGGGTTGCAACTGTGTTTTATGTGAGGACTATAGGGTTAGGATTATGGTTAGGTATACTGTTAGGTCCTGGGTTGATGTTAAAAATTCGGGTTGTGCAGCGTTGAACAATCGTCGTAACAATTTCTACATTACGATTATCTATTATATATATTTTTTTTCATAATGTTTTTGTATATATAGTTTGTATTGTTTTAATCCGGAGCCCTCAAGGACAGCACTTTTGTTTAACTGAAGAGACAATCATGTTTGATTAAAACTAGAAAACAAGGAACATAATTTCGTTCAAATATTTTCTCGTGTCGTAGGTTCACACACGATAGCCAGACATGGGGAATAGACAGACAATTTATGTGGGGACCAGCTCTTCTCATCTCGCCCGTCCTCGAAGAGGTATACAACAGTTATTCATTTATATTATGTACACTACTGTCACTGATTGTGTTACTTAACTATTATTATTGACTATTTCTACTACTACTACTACTACTACTACTACTACTACTACTACTACTACTACTACTACTACTACTACTTCTACTAGTAGTACTACTACTACTACTACTACTACTACTACTACTACTACTACTACTACTTCTACTACTACTACTACTACTACTACTACTACTACTACTACTACTACTACTACTACTTCTTAATACTGCTAATGATGCTGGTGGATACGGAACCGGACTGTGGATTACATGGTTCGTGGTTCGAGTCCCGCTGCGACACTGATGACATTTGGCAAGACATTATCTCGTTCTCATACGGCTACTAGTACTACTAATAATATTACTACTGATATCACTTTTGCAACCAATAATCTTATGATTATTCCTCTCGGGATTTTTTCTTGCTTGATTTTGTTTTAGGATTTTCCCTACTAACTGTTGTGTAAGAAGTAAAACTACAGCTGTAGATATGCAGTGTAAGCAAGACATGTGTTCATCACTTTAAAACGAGGTCATTCTGTTGTATTTATACGAGTGTACATGGTAATAATTGTTTTGTGTTCCCTTTTAAAAATTTGTCCACATGATTTTTCCTTCTCTAACATTTTACCAACAGAACACACTAGTCGTAAGGGCATACTTTCCTCTAGCTCGTTGGTACGATTACTACGAGGTTAGTATTTTTTAAGGGGAAATTGACACGGAAGTAACGATCAAACCAGTTGTATGAAAAAGATATTCCCCTGCGTGGCATCTCTCACATTAAAAAAAGTTTAAATTAGTTTTATATCATAGATAGACAGTTTTTAACTTTAATAGCAATTTTCTTGTAAACCTGGGTCCTGTCTTATAAAGAGTTGATACTAATCACACCTTTTTTGCGATTGGTATCAATCGCAACCGTGTTCTTTAGAGATAGGGAACTGCAAACTTGCGATTGATAAGAGGATTTGCGATTGATTTGGATCAATCCCAACTCGTTAAAAAACGGAGCGCCGGTCGCAAAATAAATCAACTTTAGCTTCAGAGAAATCAAACCAAGGACAATTCATTACCGTATTGTCTATATTCCATAAAAATCATGTTAATAATACGTAACAGGTCATTGCAATTCCAAGAAGATTATGATTTTTCCTGTATCGTAGAAATAATAGCGAGTTATAAATCGATTACTGGAAGCATAGTTTAACTTAGTTCTCCGCGACGTGTATCCAGTTCCCACTGGCTTCTTTAGACCGCCTGAATATTACGCATTAGGCCATTGAAAGGTTCGTACACTACAATTGTTTATGATAAGAGGCTACTGAAATTGACTTTAAATAAAGGATGATTTCTCAAAAGACGTTGCTATCATGTTTGTACTTGACCATTAGTTGCTTTCATGATACATCTTGTAATGACATTACATGTAGAATCAATCCTCGAATCAATCATTAAATAATTGTATATTCATCTTTAGTTTCATCGGATATGCTCCTTTCTACTACTAAAACAAGAAAGATAAATTATACCACTTACATATTCATTAATTTATCTTATTATTCGTTCATTTAATAATTAATTTATTCATTAGATTTATACATCTATTGATTTATTGATAAATTAATTCATGTATTTATTTAATTCATTCATTTACTAATATTTTTAAAATATTTGTCACTAATTTATCTATTTATTTATTTATTTATTATTTTTTCTAATATTTTTTATTCTTGCATTAATTCAATAAAACTAATCTTTTTGCATAATTAGAAACTTATATATATATATATGTATTGATCTTTATTATAGGGTTTGGAAATGCCGGAGGAATCTTTGACTGTAGGGGGCGGCATAGATCTCGAGGCACCTCTTGAATATCTTCCTCTTCACATCCGAGGCGGTCACATCATACCGACCCAGCAGCCACACAACTCCACCAAGTTCAGGTAGTGATGCAAGAGTCACAGGGAGGGAGAGAGGGAGGGAGAGAGGGAGAGAGAGAGAGAGAGAGAGATAGAAAGAGAGAGAGAGAGAGGGAGAGAGAAAGAGAGAGAGAGAGAGAGAGAGAGAGAAGGGGATGGGGAGTGGAAGAGATATAGTGTGTGTGTGCGTGGTTTACTTGGGTGAGATAGACAGGTAGAGAGGGGTAGGGAGAGGGAATAGGGGAGTAGGGGAGTAGGGAGAGACAGAGAGGGAGAGAGGGATGGAAGAGAGGGAGAGAAAGAGAAAGAGGGGGATGGTGAAGAAAGGGTATAGGGCGGGGAAAGAGAGATAGAGAAAGCACTTTAAATGTTTTACGTTTAATAAATACTCATCATTTTCGCTTCAAGAAGAACATCACATCCTACCAAGGTATTTTTAGTATTTGTGATTTCACTTTTCAAAAAGAGTGAAAAGATTAACTGAAACATAATTTTGATTTCATTTCTAACTCCAACTTTGTCTATATCTATTTATCTACCTGTCCATGGTCCATGATCTATCTATATATCTATCGATTTCTTCCCTCTCCTTCCCCTCTACCACTTTATTTCGATGTTTCGTTTCACCCCACTCTCTTTGTCTCCTTTTCACTCTTCCATGGTTCCTATCACCCCTGATCACATGAAGTCGTCTAAACCCGTTTGGTCTGATCGTGCCTCTTGACGGATCCATGCAAGCTTCAGGCGATCTCTTCTGGGACGACGGAGATTCCATTGGTACGATAAGTAGCTCGGAATTCTAGACTCTTTGTACGGCTAAAGCCGACGAGACCGACAGTCCATGAGACCGACAAGTCATGAGACCGTCAACCCAGGAAACGGACAGCCAATAAGACAAACGGCCCACGAGTTCGACAGTCTGCGAGACCAAACGTCCATGAAATCAACAACCAATAAGACAACAATCTGTCGGGCGGATATCTCACAAGACCGACAACCCCACGAGACCAAGAGGCCAAAAGACCGACACCCGATAAGACTAACAGACCGCGAGACCGAAAGCTCCCGAGACAGCCGTCGCAATAGACCGACAGTCCAATAGACTGACAGCCCTTTAGATGAAACAAACATTAAGACCGAAAGCCCACGAGATCAACAAACACGAAACTGACAGGACTAACTTCGTACAGACTCTATTCTTTATTCAGTTAGATTAAAGGAAGGTTTTTAAATGAAACGTTTTTTGTTTGGTCTTCCTTCAAATGAGACCCAAATGGAAGTTATCTCACTGTTCATTGTTTTATTGTTCTGATATCCATTATACAAAAGTATCAATACGACCTTTTAATTAGGGCCGTTAGTTTTGTTTTGACCCGATAAAAATGTGTTCAACGAATAATACACCGAAATCGAAAAAGAAAGCAAGCGTTATTTTGCTAGAAGATTTTTTTTGTTATGATTCACTACAAGAATTTGTGGAGTCGTTTTTACAATATGATGGTTATTAAGATATGATGGTTATTAAAATATGATGTCTTCATTAATAGTTTTCCCCTATAATATGAAGAGTGTGCTATAAATCTACGATCGTGATTAATTTTCTTGGTAGCGATGTAGACATCGATTATTTGATTTTTTTCCCTGAACATTCTTTCAGGTTTCTTCCTGTTCACAATTATGGATTGGTATAAATGACAAAACATAATGTAATACTCCACCCCAATCTCGTATTTTTTTCTCAAAATATAATCGATGCAAGTGGTTAAGCTTTTTATGTGAATGTGGACTTATCGGAATTTAATTTACAACAAGAAAACCCGGAACTTTTGAGTTTGGATAAATAAATGATTATATTTTTCTTTATTGTATTACTCGTGGTAATTGCAACCAATCTTGTCGATTTAAATTTTACATGTCGTTGTTTTGCTTGCCATTTTGGTCTTTATAGGAACAGTCGAGAGTGGAGAGTACTATCTGATGCGGTACATCTTTTCAAGTGTGAGTAAAAATAAAAGTAAAAGTATATCGTTTGGGTTTGGGTAATAATGATATTGCTAATAATAAATACAATAATAGTAATAAGCATAATAATAATAATAATATTAATAATACAAATAATATTGATAACTATAATGATAATGATGATAATACTAATCATAATCATAATAATTATCATCATCATATTCTAAAGGCAATTTATATTCTTAACACCACAATATTGGTAAACGAATGGAGCACCAAAATACTAAATACCTTGGACCTGGTCATTTTGTATATTCTTTGTATATTTGCTTGTACCATGTTGTTGTGTTTAAATACTTGTTGTCATGCTTTATATTTTTTTTAGAAAATGGAGATGTGGACATAAATTAAATTCAATTAAATTACTAGTAAGATATTTTGAGGGCTCTCCATTGATACAAATTCTTTTCGAGTTTGTTCGATGGACGTTAAGTTTTAGGTCGAGATAAATGTACGTCTTTAATATATTATTAGCTAACGAATTGAACTAACAATTATCGTATTTTCCTCATTCTAATTGTTTATAAGTGAAGGTATGATTGGGATATATAAGTATCCAAAATTGAAGGCAAAATTGTAAACGTTCAAGATTCAATATCGATTAAAAATAATTGGTTTTGGAACATTTCTCTTCTCTCCTGAAGCATATTCTGACCTCCTCATTTGTGCATGTGCCAGCGAGTCACCCAAGTACAATGTTGGATAACCTGAATATGGACGATATCACTATATATGGACTGGAGAGGGCGCCTTCCATAGTCAAGTTTAACGGAGCCCAACTTGGGGCCGACAACTTCGAATTCAATGAAGAAACAAAGGTAGACATAATCATTGATACTAATCATTTTAGTCATTTATATTGCGCGGAAGTATAAGGTTCTAGGACAATTACCCCCTGGGTAATCAACCCTCGGCCAATCACCAGCGGGACAATTACCCCCAGAAAATTACTCCCCGAGAATAATCACCCTCGAGGACAATTACCCCTCAGGAAAATTAAACATCAAGGAAAACTCAAAAAGTTAGCTCCAGGATATATAATTATGTGAAGCTGCTAACTGAAAAAAGGTTCACTTCAGTAAATGCGTTATATGCCCACTGATACACACTGTAATCAGTTGAGGAGCACACGCTAACCGTGATTTGTAGTGCAACACACACAAACCATATGGTGGCCCTAAAGGGACATCGCGAATCACAAACTTTGTTGTGATGACTTATGCGACAAATCGCATATTTTGTCGCAAATTTCGTCGTGAATTATACGCGACATAATATGCATCTTGGCTCATATTTTGTAACGAATTTGTTGATTGCTTTAGTTATCTTCTTTCTCCTATATGTGTTAAGCTGCTAAAGTAAAAACGCCGCTAATTAATGTATAACCTGCTGCTAGAGTGTAGCCTGCCACAAAAATATATCCTGCTGTTAAAGTGTAAGCAGCCGTTAAAGGGCAGCCTAGTGATGCTCAAGTTAAACTGTAACCAGCTGCTAAAGAGTAACCCTCCTTTTAAAGCGTAGCCTCCTGTTAAAGTTTTGGGGTGCCATTCAGGTGTATGCCAATCCTTGTACATAGCACTTAACAGGAATAGGATCACAGATCTGTGCTTGTCAATTTTCTTGTATGCCAGTATACTGTACAATTATATTGGTGCTAATAATGTAACACGTATACAGAATCAACCGTATTACAGTTATTTCCCACTGAAAGCTGATGACCCTTACAAACAAAGATAAAAACAGGCTCCAAAATAGCAAAATATTGATGTAAGAATTCATATTGAAAGCGGTATTTATTTCCTTTTCATGAATTGTACTAAGAATATAACTGTGATTAGTAACTGTGATGCATAGATTGCAGGACACTAGTCAGTTCATCATCACGCCTCCGCGCGAGCCGATAACACGTACGATACGGCCGCAATGCCCGTTCGCTGAAGTGAACATCTTTTTCAGACACTTAGGCGTCGGGTTAAGCTATGGTCACATCACCTAAAAGTAGCCTGCTCGGCGGCCGGGCGGCGAGTTTTGAGCCGATTTCGCCAAGGCACCGAGCGGCGGCATACCAGACACCGCTTGTTTTTAGGTCATCGCTCGGGTGCTGCTGAAGTTTTAGCGCGGAGTTAAAATTCGGGCGGCGCCTGCTCACTTTTACTCGCCGCCCAAAGTACGCTCGGTGCCCGGGCGGTTGCCGTCCGGGCACCGACCTAATCGAGCGTTCGCCGTCGAGCGATTTAGGTCAAAAATCGAAGCCGCTAGGTCAAAGGCTGCTGAGCGTTCGCCGCCCGGTCGCCGCCCGTCACTGGGCAGCGAGTTCAAAATCGGTCAGCATCCTTTGACCTAGCGCCTTTGATTTTTTACCTAAATCGCTCGACGGTGAACGCTCGATTAGATCGGTGTCCGGGCGGCGAACACCCGGGCACCGAGCGTATGTTGGCGCCCTGCCGATCACCGGCCGGCTGCCAGGCAATTTCCTTAAAATTAGCGGGTGGCCGGTGGGAGACCGCTCGGGTATAGGTGGGTCGTCTTTCGGTCACTGCCGGGACGCCGCCCGGAGAAGCTCTCCGATTTCGCCCAGTTTTGACCTAAAATCGACCGGCGACCGACGGAAAATCGACAGCCTGCTCGACTTCTCCAATAAACCGTTGAGCGATGCCTAAATTCCAGCGGCGACCGAGCAGACTACTAATCAGTCGGTCGCTGCTCTAATTTGTGACTATAGCTTAACACTTAAGCGGAGTTTTTATGCTCATATCGAGGTTTTACTATAATATCAGTGACAGTGTGAATATTATGATTGCCGTCTAATGTAACAATGAAACGACATGCATTACGTATACACTATTAATATGGTACTGCTACTGATATTATTACTAATACTACTACTACTACTACTACTACTACTACTTCAACTACTTCTACTACTACTACTACTACTACTACTACTACTACTACTACTACTTCTACTACTACTACTTCTACTACTTCTACTACTACTACTACTACTACTACTATTACAACTACTACTGTCTTCTACTACTACTACTATCACTACCCCTGCTGTTGTTAGAGAACAATAAACCCTTTTCGAATGACTCTTGGATTAGCTCCTGCCAGCAAGAAGAACATAACAGCCAATTGTTGTCGATTAAATGGCAGTACAGGCTTTCTTTCGGGCATCCTACATGATGAGCTATACATGCATTGTACATATACATGGTGAATGTTCATTTTTAATTTTATATTTTTATACTTCAATTTCCAGGTTCTTTCTGTGGCGTCTTTGGAACATCCAATGACGAGTGTCTTCACTTTGGCAATCGAGTTAGCTGAGACTGTCTAGAGAAATGAGAATAATTCTTCTGTTTGGAAAACGACCATTAATCATGGGACTATCATGGACTTGACTGGAAATTAATTCTTACATACTCCAACGAAATCGACACTGAATGCCGGACCCGTATTGAATTCAATATTTCAAGTTTTATATATTAGTATTTTTCTTAGGACGTACATAAGTAAATTAGCTCAAGTCTAATGCAGATTACAAGAAAGTGTTTCACCTAAGTAAAGGCTCGTTTAGATGTGACGCCGTAAAGAGCCGCAAAAAAGGAAAGAAAACAAAACGCGAAGGTATTTTGTAATCGTGTACATAAAAGGCAACTGCGCGCGAAACCGGTCACGGTATTGCCGCGTGACGAGTCTTAAGCCAAGTTGTAACGCTAAAATTAAGTTAAAATTTCATTAGAAAATCCATTGCTTGATTTGTGTATAGACAGTATTCCTACAATTTGTGCAAAAAGAAGTCATAACTTACAAGGGAAAGTGATACGTAATTTGTGTTTAATCGTTGATTCACTCAGAAAAGGTATAAGTAAATTTTGTTTGATCCCTTCTGGAATGACATTCTTCACATGGAGAACAAAAAACAAAACAATCACTTTAGGCTGTATACAGTTTATACATAGCGTAGGATTGCTAGACTTTGCTCTATCGGCCAAAGTGAATTCATGCCTGTTTAATACGCACTTTTTAAATTTCATATTCGGTGCACCCGATTCACGAAGTTTACATTCATTAAGTGACAATTTATTTGAAACGCAGTAATAGTTGCTGAACTTACATCGCTCATTATGTTATTTTATGAGTGATTAAATAATATTCAATACGTGATTGGAATATGAATAGGAAGATAATATACCCCGTAGTAGTGTTATTAATTACAAATGGCTTTTGCATTCAATATTTTTATAATTGCAGAGTATATAGAAAATATGTTTGTAATCGACCAAGCAATAAAAGTATTTTCAAATGCACACAAATAACAAAGGTAAACCAATGAGCCTTACAAGCTGTACAGCTGTACCATGCATACATAGAAGCTTAAAATAGGAACTTTAGAAGAATAAAACATCTAACAATCTTATCAATATGTTTATGCAAAAACATGATTCTTTCTAAAGGAAGTTTCGATTTTACACTGCTCCACAAGATTTTACTGTCCGCGCCAGAATATGAATGATTACATTTTTAGATTGGGTAAATCTTCCCCACTGTGATTCCATTACATTCCATGTATTTGCCATGACTAAACCATTATCATGTGCACATATTAGCAAATCTCAGATCAAATAAATGCTTATGATTAAATACCATTGTTCAAATAAACCCTCTCTTAGAATAATGATTATTTTGTGAGAGTAATGCATTTTGAAGTATAGATGTGCCAACGGCGTGTGATGTATGAAACCAAGGGAACAAGGACGAGATACTTCCGCTGTTTTCCTAGTCACAGGCTTTTCATGAAATAGAGAGAACATCTTCCTTTTCTTTCGTAGGTGAGGGAGTTTGCCAGACATTGATTACTTCAAATACGAGTGTCCATATGAGGTAATGACCATTTTTTATTCAGCTTTTCATCTTTTTTCTGTTGAAAATAAATTAAAAATATTAAATCCAATCCAATCCCGATCCTAAATTTTCAAGAGTGACACTATTTAGTCGCCTTTCGGGCGCTCATGAGACTAAAGCAGTGACAATGCCGTAAACCGTGTCCATGATTCATCTGGAAAAGACTGGGGTATTCCCCCCCCCCCCCCCCCTCCCACTCCGGGGTTCGGTGAAACCGCATTCGTGTTCCCAAAATCTTCGGTAAAGGGTACTTTTCACGCAACAAAGTCCGGCCCGCAATACACAAAACTCCGGCCCGTATTGCCATCGGAGATAGGGGTGTTTTCAAAGGGAGGGAACATGCATACGCGTATCCTAAATAACACTGAGTGTGGGGAGGGGGTATTGGCCGGTTGTAAGCGACGTAGAATAAGTAGCAAGTCACATGCGCGGAAGTACTACGAAAGACCTTTAGGTGCACTGGATAGAAGCAGCGAATTCTCTATCACCTACAAGTTCATCTAAATTTGGTCCAAATGGATTTTTGCATGCCATGTTCAAACGAATATCGCTCAGTGAAGCATGTATGGACTAATGTCATCAATGCATCGTGTGAAACCACATTACTTCTAGTTCATGAAAAGCAAGGAATCATATTCCTACAGCTCTTAATTTGTTTGACAATACCCATTTTTTTTTTTTGGGGGGGGGGTTTCTTTTTGTTTCTTCTTAGACGCACTGTATATTAGTCTTGAAATAGAAACGGTAAAATAATATTCATCAATTCCATAATAAAACTGATGTATGCAATATGACACAGAAAGATTATCCGTGTGGTATATAAAAGACTGTTTAGGGATACTATCCGAATTCGTCAGAAATCACGTGTACTTGCAGACCATTAGATGGAAACTACGAAGAGATAAGTAGATAGAACTAATCAGAGTTCAAAAGCAATACATCGTGGATGCCCAGCAATCAAAACAAATAAACAACAAATTAAACGAAAAAAAAAAAGAGTAAAAGACAAAAAAGCAATAACAACAACAACAACAGAAACAAAAAACCATCAAGGCATACAATTAAAGCATATATTCAGCGCTGAAAAAAAGGAAGCAATTAAACAGAGCTGAAGAGTTAGTTACCTGACAGGGCTTCGAGATGCCCAGAAAAAGACCCCCCCCCCAAAAAAAAAACAAAAAAACAAAACAAAACAAAACAAAACAAAACAAAACAAACTTATCCATTGACATATTTGACTGGGTTTTCAGTGCTAACGACGATTCACGATGATGTTCTCTCAAACTATTCAGTCTTTGGTTTCTTAGAAAACTTACAAACTCTGGAACGTACCAGCATGCAACACTTAACAACAATATAAACAAAGAAGATCACAACAACTGAAATGAAGGAAACGACATCTATAAGGTAGTACTGGAAGATACTCAAGGTGTGTACAGGTATCTCAAGATTGTCCGTGCCATGTTTGATTGCGTGATCAATCCAAAATGCTGCCCTCTCAGCTGGTCTCATTGGTCGATCTTGGAAAGTGGATGACATCCGTTTTGCTGTATTCGAATAGGTTGCGTTCGTCGTAACATCATGCAGCGCGTCATACAGATTTTCTTCAGTTAGAAAACCTTTGTCCAATTTCAAGCCCAAACCGTGGTGCACGATTCTTGGTGCAACGTCATACTGGTCACCATAGATAGGCATTACAACTACTGGAACACCGTGATAGATGGCTTCATAATAACTATTATGACCTCCATGGAAGAAGAGAGCTCTTGTTTGGGGATGGCCTAGGATGTCGTTCTGGGGCAACCAGGGTAATATCTTGATATTTGCAGGAATCGGAAATGGAGGTGGGGTCTTCAGAAGCCAAATTACTCTTTGGGGCAATCTGTCGAACGCTTCTGCAAAAATTCTAATCACATGGAGATTAGAGTCGTCTAGGATAAGGAAAGATCCAAATGAACAGATGATGATTCCGTCATCGCCTGACCCTTGGATAAAGTCCTCTATGTTTGCAGGTAGTTTTTCTGCTGCCCTTGTTGTAAGACCACCAACCGGTATGACGTTCGGGGCGAGAGCGCATGGGAACTCTCCGACAAAATCGCTATTGACTAACCACAGTTTAGAGTTCGTCAGAAGCTCCAATGGATCTGGTATGCCAAACCTCAATGTCAACTCGTTATATGGAGCATAAAAGTATGGACCTAAAATTGTTATAAGTGTGTAAACCAGCGAGTTTATGACTCGTTCCTTGAAGTTCATCTTGTTGGAGTAAGATGTCATCATGCTTGGTATATACCCTGGGTGAAAAACTGATCCCTGACTTGATGTCACCAGGCAGGTATTAGGGTATGGAAAAATCACAAAGTATGGTAGATCAAGCAACTCGCCGACCATTGCACCGCACACCCACGTTGAGTCGAACAAGACTACTGAGAAATTGGCAGCCCGAAGACGTCCAATTAAGGCTTCGTCCTCCAGTAAAGCCCTGCAGTCATTTAGTCGAGCCTCTTGCAACACGGAATGTATGGACAGTTGAAGTTTAAAGTCACTTGCCGATACGAGTTTACTCAAGTTGGCGAACATGTCGTGAACTGCTTGCGTCGGAATTGGATGCTTGAAGACTTCCCAATTAAACATGTGACCATACCGGCTGCTTCTGGCATGATTCTCAAACGCACTACCGAGGAGAAAGGTGACGTTGTAGCCCCGGTGAATGAGCTGTTCCCCAATGGCCGCTGATAAGTAGAAATGACTCCCTTTCCCAATCATCGGGTTTACTAGTACGTTATTTGCCGTAGTGTAGCTGATGACAAACATGACAATGAATAAACTACCCAGGAGTACACTTCGTGGCTGCGCCATGCGATCATCCATGCTGTCGTGATTCTGTGGGAAAAATGAATAATACAAATCGACTTTTAATGACCTATCCTGGTTTGAAATTATTTGTTTTCTATAAAAAAAATATTACCATTGAAACAAGAAATCGTGAGGTGTGGCGATATACGCATTTGTCAAAGGATTGTGCTTGAGGTATTTAAAGAGGAAGTCAACTTGTGGTAAAGGTGTAGAATTAATCGTGAGCTTCCTTTTTTGTCGTTGTTATTTCCGGTGAATGAATGTTATTCTTGAATGTACCATGAAGAGGCTTCATCCCTAAATAATCATATTATCAAAAGACAGTAAGAAACAGCTGACAATTTTGGATCAAATGTTCATGCGACATGCAAGTACGCACATTGTTTAGTGTACTGTTTTTAAATCTAAACAAATGGTAAGAGAGGAACAAATTTCACCTTTTACACAAATATTCTGACTTTCCTTTGGATTTTCCTGGATTTTCCCGGATACTATCGTCTTTCGATTCTCAGATACCTTCCCTCTCTTTTCCCCACTCTCGTTGTTTGTTTTTTGTCCTCTTTCTCTCACTATAGTTGATTGGCTTTATTTAATAATTCATCACGTTTAACACTTAAAACATTACACGTTTCCATGAAGTTTTTAAAAAAGCTGAGGACGATCTCTTCACATATAAATTAAAATAACCACATATACAGTTCGGGGTTACAGGTTGACTTAGCGTATGATAATTAAAAACTTAAACAAATTAATCCAATATGTTTCCACCAGAAAAAGCAAAAACAATTACTGTTAAGCTACATATAACTACGTTGATGGAGAACATAGTTTCTGCAGGTTGGAATGTGAAAAAGATGACAAGACAAGCTCTCCGAATGTATCATCCCAGCATCAGTGACATCACATGGCTAATGTAGACTCCACGTGTAATGTCTAGTATTATCTAATGTTCATTTGATATTGAAAGTAAATCATCTGATGACTTCCCCACCCGTTAAAGTCATTGTCTATTCCATGCAGCAGTATAGTAATCAACCTTGACTTCCGCCAATGCCTACTGATGATTATCGCCCTACTATTGTACATGTATAGTAAAGTTGAAACGTTTTAACGAGACTGGTATTAACTATACACGGGGGATTATAATGTGTTATTGTACGGTCATATTTAGAGGTAGTAACTCTGGCTCCATAGGTCTGGTTATCTTTCTCAACTTCACACCGATATTGAAATCAGAGTGTACTCGTCAGCTTGGAAGCATATCACAGTTGAAATGGCCACCGAAAGGGACCGTTCTTCAAATCCCATCATATTTTTGGGGAAAAGAGATTTTGAATACAACAAAAAAAGAGATCCAAAATCATTTGTGTGTGAAATCATAAGTATCCCTTTCTGGGTGAATTGCATATTATTTTCAGCAAGCCTCTGAGTATTTTTCTCTTTCTATCTACCTAACGATATTCATTTATCCTCAATGATAAACGTTTGTTAATCGCTTTCAGACAGTTTCTTGCACAATACAGTAATTAAACATGGCAAGTATCAACTTTATAATCAAGCATCCAGAACATATCAACCCTGTTTGGTTCTACACAGATTTACACAGTGCGCTTTATAGTAGACACGTACATGTTTAATTGTATAATGAAGGATGATACTGACTCACCCTATTCGGGAACATAACGTGTACAAATCGGCAGATCTAGACTCAATACAGGTGGGCGAACAACTGAAGCACTACCAGAAAGAATCGAGCATCACACATATGGTATTCATATTACTCATGCAGCACTGCCGAACTTATTATAATAACACAGCTATTCATATTTACTCTGCACAATACATCCTTTCACGCTCTGATGGGCAATTTCAAAGCAATCCGCATTATAAGGTAGCTATTTACCTATTCAGAGCGATATGGATTATTAATGCTTGGAGCAATTTCTTTTTTTTTATTTTTTAGAAATGAATGCGCCCATAGTTTGGATAATCCATCCATATTTAAGAGCAGAGTCTCTTTTATATGATACCGAATTTATCATGATATTTCGAACCATGAATGCCTATTATTACCTAAGGGGGGACCCTTAATTTTTTAATTTTGTTTTGACATGGGGTGTTGTAAAAAAAAAAAATCGGTGTCAACATGTTCAGGGGACCTCCCTGCACAACTTACAGATGGACTACCTTGAAAATGTGCTGACAAAAATAATACTGGCGGCCCCTTTATCAAAATGGTCGCCATGTATAACAAGTGTTAAACTATTTCGAAGATTATTTTTTCAACAGAACCCCATGGCATAGTAATCAACCTTGACTTCCGACAAGGCCTACTGTGGACTATCGCCCTACTATTGTACAGTAAAGTTGGAAAGTTTTAACGAGACTGGTATTAACTATACACGGGGGAAGGGGGTTATAATGTGCTATATTGTACGGGCATATTGGAGGTAGTAACTCTGGCTCTAGGTCTGGCTATCTTTCTCAACTTCACACCGATATCAAACGCAGCGTTTATCTGTCAGCACTCGGATTTGAGTGCATGTATTCACCTTTGTCTTCCTTCTTCTTGTTTTGAATGGTGCTAATATACATGCACACAAAGCGGCATTTGTCCTCTCCTTTTTTTGGGGGGGGGGGGGTGGGGTAGGGAGGGTAAGAGTAAACAAATTGTTTTGTTAAAGTCCTATCTTGTCAATGATTATAGTTGATTGCATAGTGATTCATACATTGTTATACCTCACTATTTTGTATTCTTACAATTTCTGTAAAGTCACATGGATTGGAAAAGAAGACATTCGGGTTTAGTTATCAAGTTCATCTTTTTCTTTTCCCGGCATCCATATGACTCTCTTCCAAATGTACTCTTGTTTTGTATTCACAGATTTGTTGTTGTTGTCTTTACCGAATAAATAATAATAACGATACTAATAATAATTAAACAAAATGTATAGGGCTCTTCAGTAAGTTTACATTTTGACATGAGCTAAAATGGCAATTTTGGGTGGCTAGGCTAGGGCTATCTTCTTCTTTAAAAACATTAAAATATTATAGTGAGATGAAAAATAAAATATATCGAGAAGATGCTATCTTCTACTGTCAGAGAATGCAGTTTCAAAAAAAATGAATGATATATCTTTCTTAGTTACCGTTGCTATTATAATAATATGCCTAGCAACTGATATATAATATGTTTTCAGAAACGAAATTAGGATATCGGTCAATAATAATAATAATCTTTTAAAGTCCACTCCAAATGTTATTAAGTTAAACCGAAAATTGAAATTCTTTTAGCCAAACTGATCGTGAGCCCGGCAGCCAATGAACAGCGCCAGATCGACGTTGCTCTATCCCTTAATTTTGAACACCAAACGAGGTAGCAGCAACTCCCGTCTTTTAATGTCTTTTGGTATAACGCGGTCGGGGTTCGAACCCACGACCTCCCAGTTGTGAGGCGGACGCTCTATTAACTGAGCCAACACACTGGTAATACATATGATAAGACCCGATTCAAAGTGACAGACTTGATTAGCAGACTAAAACAAAGTGCATGGTGCGGTTCAGAGCTTTCACCATACCCCTACCTCCCATTAAATGCCCCCTCTCAATTGAAAGCAAGATCGATTTTGTGATGGGGGCAATTTGTTGTGAAGGGTATGGTGTGTGTTGAAAAGTGATGCAGGCTGTCGGTTGATTGATACATAAAATGAGATCTGGATCCAGGTGAAAGTCTTGATTTTCAGTCTGAATCATGAAGAGAATGGATGATAGGGTTCAGAAAATTCGCACCCTACCCCCTTTTGTGCCCCCTTCCTTTTTCTCTTTCTCCCTCTCTCTCTCTCTCTCTCTCTCTCAATAATACCTAAAATAAGACCTGATTCAAAGTGACAGAAATGATTAGCAGACTGAAACATAGTGCATGGTGTGGTTCAGAACATTCACCATACCCCCTACCTCCCATTAAATACCCCTCTCAATTAAAAGCAAGGTACATTTTGAGAAGGGGGCAATTTGGCAACATCCAAACCAAACATGATTTTTTAATGAGTTGAGAATAAATCGGAAGCAAAGTTCAGAACGTGAAAAGTGATGTAGGCTGTTGGTTGAGTGATGCATAGAATAAGATCTGGATCCAAATGAAAGTATTCTTTTTCAGTCTGGATCATAAAGAGAATGGATGATGAGGTTCACGATTTCGCACCCTTCCCCTTCTGTGATCACCCCCCTCTTTCTTTCTCTTTCTCTCTCCTGGAACAAAATGTGTGCAAAGTAATATTTGTAAATTATATTGCAATTTAAAAGTTAAAAGTGTAATTAAAATGTAATGCATAGAAACATGTTTGTCAATGTCTTTCATTTTCCTCCCCTGGTTCCGAAAAGGACCTAAATCCTTTGTTTTGTATAATAAATTCATTAACCTGCCATGTGTAAGATAATAAGACACCTGGATTTAAATGATAGACTGGTATCACTTTCTAAAACCTAGATGCTTGAATGTTGGAATAAGAACTTGCACCCGCATCCTCCTCCTATTGTCTATTCTGCGGTGGGCTTGGGGTCCAGCTCCATGGTTATTTCGAACGTATCGATACTTGGGCAATCATCACCTCATATCCAGACAGCAAGGTGCTAGAATCACTTCATATCCGAGTAGCGGCTAGCTGTTTGAATACATCTTAAATCCAATTATAAATATCTTGATAACCAGACAGGCGATCGGCTTGTAAAATTCACGGGGTTGCTGACTGACCTAAACATTTATAATTATTATTGCAACATGAGCTAAATCAAGGATTTTGTTACAGAATCCGAGACAGAGAAACATAATCCTTTTAAAAGGATTGGGTAACTTTGCCTTAGATTCTAAATGGAATCCTGGATTTAGCTCATGCTGCAATCATAATTACAAACCCCCCCCCCCCCAAAGGACAATTACCCCAAGGACAATTCCCCCCCCCTGAAAAATACCACCCGAGGAAAACTACTCCCGAGGACAATTACACCGAGGAAAATTCCCCACCGAGGACAACTACCCCCCAAGGACAACTACCCCCGAGGACAATTTCCCCCGAGGACAATAACCCCCGAGGATAATTACCCCCGAGGACAATTACCCCCTTCGAGGACAACTACCCCCGAGGACAATTACCCCAGAGGACAACTACCCCCACAGGACAACTACCCCGAGGACAATTACCCCCCGAGGACAATTACCCCCCGAGGACAATTACCCCTCGAGGACAATTACCCCCTCGAGGACGACTACCCCCGAGGACAATTACCCCAGAGGACAACTACCCCCCGAGGACAGCTACCCACTGAGAATAATTACCCCCGAGGATAATTACCCCATCGAGGACAACTACCCCCGAGGATAATTACCCCCGAGGACAACTACCCCCTCAGGACAACTACCCCGCAAAACAACTACCCTAGAGGACAACTACCCCCTCAGGACAACTACCCCCGAGGACAATTATCCCCCAAGGACAATTACCCCATCGAGGACAACTACCCCCGATGATTATTACCCCCGAGGACAATTACCCCCTCCAGGACAACTACCCCCGAGGATAATTGCCCCAGAGGACAACTACCCCCCCCCCCGAGGACAACTACCCCCGAGGATAATTACCCCCGAGGACAATTACCCCATCGAGGACAACTACCCCCGAGGATAATTACCCCCGAGGACAACTACCCCCTCAGGAAAACTACCCCCGCAGGACAACTACCCCAGAGGACAACTACCCCCCGAGGACAATTACCCCCGAGGACAATTACCCTATCAAGGACAACTACCCCCGAGGATAATTACCCCCGAGGACAACTACCCCCTCAGGACAACTACCCCCGCAGGACAACTACCCCCTCAGGACAATTACCCCCGAGGACAATTACCCCATCGAGGACAACTACCCCTGAGGACAATTACCCCCTCGAGGACAACTACCCCACGAGGACAACTACCCTCGAGGACAATTACCCCCCGAGGAAAACTACCCCCCGAGGACAACTTCCCCGAGGACAATTACCCCCCCCCCCCCGAGGATAATTACCCCAGAGGACAATTACTCCCGAGGACAATTACCTCCTCGAGGACAACTACCCCCGAGGACAATTACCCCAGAGGACAACTACCCCTTCAGGACAACTACCCCCGCAGCACAACTACCCCTGAGGACAATTACCCAAGAGGACAACTATACCCCACGAGGACAATTAACCTCGAGGACAGCTACCCCTGTTGGAAAATCAGGATTCAATAGCGTGGAATGCACTTTCAAAGATCACCCTTGACGCTAATTTAGAAATAGATTTTTCTAAAGCCTTTGATCGTGTCAACCACAATATAGTGATTCGCAAAGTATTCACGTATGGTGTCAATGAAGCAGTTCTTCAGACCGCGACCAGCTTCTTAACTGATCGCACCCAGGCTGTTAGAGTTGGCTCTTGTATCTCCGAGGAAAGGCATTTGACGTGCGGAGTTCCGCAGGGAACAAAACTAGGCCCGTTGATGTTCCTAGCTCTGGTGAATGATGCCGCACATGATATCGAGCATCATTGGAAATATGTTGACGACCTAAGCCTTCTCGAGATTCGCACGACATCGGCACCACCGAAACTACAGGACCATCTTGACGAATTAGAAAATTGGAGTAAAGACAATGACATGAAATTCAATACCACCAAGAGCAATGCCATGTCTGTCAACTTCACGAAACGTACCATCAACACTCCTTGTTTGCGTCTCAATGATGAGCCTCTGAAAACAACGGAATCCCAGAAAATACTGGGCGTGCACTTACAATCCAATCTCAAGTGGGACAAACAAGTTGGTGATATGGTATCAAGAGCGGGAAAGCGAGTATTTATGATAAGTCGTCTTCGAAAGGCATCCATCCCAAGTTGTGACTTAGTCAACATCTACTCATCCTACATACGTCCTATTTTGGAGTATTCATCTCCCCTTTGGTCCCCAAGCATCACTGCAAATCAGTACAATGATATTGAGAAAATCCAGAAACGTGTCTGCCGCATCATTATGAAGGACCAGTATGTTTCTTACGACCATGCTCTAGAGCACCTCTCCATCTGTCGTATGTCGGAGCGTCATGAACAACTACTGGATTCCTTTGCTCGAAGTCTGTTGAAATCTCCCCGGCATCGTGATCTTCTCCCTCCCTTACGTAGCGATATGTCCTCTCGTCGCCTACGCTCTTCACATCTTCTCAATACCCCTTCTGTCGGACTACCCGGTATTATTCTTCAACGATACCTACTATTGTTAGACTGCTTAATTCACCTTGAATCTTTGAACTAAAACTAACAATGATCGAGTCAACAAAAAAATGTATTTGATTATATTCCAACATGCATTTTCATCTACTGATTGCTACTTTCGTATCTCTTCTTCTATGTGCAATATCAATTAATAACAGAACTTGAGAATTTGTCAATCGATGTGAAGTAGCCTATTTACTTGTTAATATTTAACTTTGTCGATGTCAGCATTACATCTTTATCATTACTATATTTAATTCGTTCAAGGTTTCTTCACTTTATACTCTCTGATGTAATATTAAGTTGCCAATTTCGCTGAATTCAGGACCATCACCTTGTTAATATTTATCTTTGTCGATGTCAACATTACATCTTCATCATCACTACATTTAATTCATTTAAGGTTTTTTCACTTTCACAAATTTGCCAATTTCGCTTAATTCAGGAACATCACCTTGTTTAACCAATATTGAAACTTAGCTTTAATATTTTATTTTTTATCGTATTTTATCTGTATAAACATCTAAATATTATCCCACCTACGTATCACTGTTGCAATAAACTTGTAAATTGTTAATTATCAACTTTCTATCTCATGTAAAACCAATGACAATCTTATATCATCAATGAAATTGTAAATCGTACTTAAATATACACAATATTTGTTAAGTGTTCTATATATTTTAATGTGTTATCAATGCAATGTTATGCCATGTACTTTTTACTCTGTAAATTGAACAATTTCAGCTTTTAGCTGCATGTCCAATGATTTTTATCTCAATAAACCAATACAATACAATACAATTTAGGTAATTGTCCAGCGCTTCTTAAAATGCATAGAGCAGCATTATTTTTACCTTTTGTTAGTCACGGTTCCCTCTTAAGAAGTTTCTCCCAAATCCCAAAGTCTTCACAGACTATTTTTTGTTCGCATGACTCTGGCACTCGGCAAGTACAATATACACACGTATGGACACATTTAAGAATAAAAAGGGAGAAGACATTTTTAAAATGGTAAAAAAGTTAGTTTGTAATCAACACACTAGAAAATATAGGATTTTCCGGCCAAATTCGCGAGTTTGTCATTCGAATTCATTTACTTTGCATTTAAGATAGCGCAGATCAGCTTTGCCATGCCAATTATCATTCAATTTTTCCGATTTTGTATGTAATTTAGGTTTTTGGTCGAAGGATTTCATAGATCTGTCATTCAATTTAGAAACTGCTCAACTAGCATTCAAATTAATCGTCACTTGTCGAGGCGTCATTTTTATCATTCAAATTAACACCTGTCATTCGTATTCGAATTATGTTTATTCAAGTTATGAATGTTAGGGGGAAGAAATGCAACACACATTTACAGTTTTTTTTAAAAATGCAATTAAATACATGATTTGCCATTGGGGTCTTTTCTGTTATGCAATTTATTAATTTTGAGGAAAAACCATATGTTTGTAGTCAGACATTAGGTAAAGAAGGGGTGAAATCAAGGGAAATGGCATCTTTGAATGGACATGTTAATATACCCCGGAAAAGTAGGGATACAAAAACACCTACCCCAGTCACAATATTATACCCTTCCATCATAATGAAATTGTGATAAATTTATGATGAAACACAAGACAAACAACTTCCTTACATGAAAATTTACACAAATATTGAGACTATCAAGTCCGTAGATGTAAGTCTTTTTTTTAAGCAATCAAATTTAAAGGCTGATGAATATCTGATAAATCTAAAAGCTTATAAAGATTATAAATGCAAGAAAATGAAATAGGATGAAATACACATGAAAAACGATCTTGAAAGAAAAAGAACGAGCTATAAAATGATATAGAAATGTATATTGACCATTAATTTTAGTGCACAAAGTGCTAATTTGAATGCTACAAATGAATTAGAATGCTAAAAGTACACCGTCGCGATGTCAGAAAATCGTGTTGCGCTAAATCAAATGACCAAATAGCGGAAGAAGCACTTTGTTCATTAATTTGAATGAAACATACATAGATTCTAACGAAAACTTCATAGATTTGAAATCTAGAAAAAGGAATATAAACCCGAGATATACCCGACAGCACTAAAACCGTCGAATTTGAACGCAAGACAAATTAATTTTACTGACAAACTCGCGAATTTGGCCGGGAAATCCTATATTTAAATAACAATAATAATAATTCGTCCGTATAAAAATAGCGTATTTGAGGACCGCAGGCCCTCTCAATGCGCTTTAATACCGAGATATATTATATATTACCCCGGTTATTATTACTCGCACACAATGTATGCACATTATCCACTCCCTGGGGAGCATTCCAGCCAGTCTCCATTTTACAAGCGCCACTTGCTAATCAAACCACATTTACTTTCGCATCCTACCGGGTACCCATTTAACACCTGGGTGGAGAGTGGCAAATGTAGATCAATGTCTGTATACGCGCACCTTGCCGCCGAACGTACATGAATAAAAAATGAGATATTCGATCATTACCTTGATACACGAATATGATGATATTCGGGCCTCTCGTTGCCCTCATTTATCATTTTTTTTCAATGTAATGAGTGTGGTAACAATGTAATCACGAAATAAAAGATAGAATATATATTCGGGCACCTTACTGTCAAAATATTGTCAACGAGCGAAGAAGAAAGACACTATATTATCTTTAAAATGATGATGAATTACCAGAGAGCGGATATTTATTTTCTTTTGACACGGCACCGTACATTTAAACTTGAAGGCAATTTCTATTCTAAAAAAATTACCGTACAAGAAACCATATTACACTTCAGCATGACAACAGAAATATATAAAGATAACGAGAAGAAAACCTTAATTTTTTATCACGGATGAGGGCCCAGTATAGATACAAAGAAAATACACGATCAGCTGATTAAAAATGTTACAGAGGATGCATAAATGAAATCTTACATCCTAATTTTATTTGTTGTGTCATTTGTTGGTGAGAAAAGCTGTAATGCGTACTCATCTGCGCACAATGCCTTGTTTAATTAAACACGGAATGTATTGACAATTCAAGTTTGACGTCACTAACCGATATCAGTTTACTCAAGTTGGTGGACATGTCGTGGACTGCTTGCGTCGGAATTGGATGCTTGACGACTTCCCAATTAAACATGTGACCATAGCGGCTGCTTCTGGCATGATTCTCAAACGCACTACCGAGGAGAAAGGTGACGTTGTAGCCCCGGTGAATGAGCTGTTCTCCAATGGCCGCTGATAGGTAAAAATGGCTCCCTTTCCCAATCATCGGGTTTATCAATATTTTCTCAGCTACCCCATAGCCGCTGATGAAAATCACAAGAAAAAATCCACCGGAAAAGATGACCCTTCTCAAGCAACAAGCCGTCATATTTTGTTTGAGGTAAAGCAAACACTGTATTGGAAGAAGATAAAACATATAATCGTCATGGTTTCATATAATATTAAGACACAAACGTTTTACAGCAGTATGAAAACACGATAAGGGGAAGGAGGATGTGGAGGATGAGGAGGAACGTTCACATATTCAGGTATTAGGGTATGGAAATTTTGCAATAGACAAGTTCGTAATTACCACATGGTACATATGACCCCGAATATCCACATGGAAAAGTCCCCCTTTGTCCATCTTAGAGGCGCTTACTTTAGTCATTTTTGTTTGTCCTCTTGAGAAGAAAACTTCTACCTGCATATTCAAAATTAACTTGCCTTCCCTTATAAAAAGGAACCATAGTAACCATGGTAAAACCATGGTAAAACCATGGTACCACCATGGTACCTTGTACTCGTCTCTAACCATGGTTCTACCATGGAAGAACCATGGTATTACCACGGTTATATGACAAATACCATGCTATACCATGGTACTTCCGAATGTGTACATGGTACATTGTGGTACTTAATTGGCAGTTGTATGTTTCTTACCTTGGTTCAGTACCATGACTGTATTGTTATAGCATGGTACATGTATTGTTCTCCTTTTCTTTGCAGTAATTCACATATCCATTAAGAGGAAACAAATATGTTGTGTTTGTTTTGTGTGTCTGATTGATTTTGTTTCTGCGTTCAAATAACAAATAAGAGGTTATACATGTTGACATAAGTATTACATAGATAATAATGCCTAATAATATTATACAATAACCATATTTAGTATACAGTTAATGTGCAGGTATGAATCGTTCGGTAGGAATCGTTTGCAATTTTTTTAAACCAAAAAAAATAAAAAATTACAGAACGCATGAAATCATTTTACCGGTCGCATGAAATCAAATTGTAACAAAACATCTAAGAATAATACATTTTTAAAAACAATTAAGAATCATAAGGAACAAGATAGAAAAAATAATGAAGAAAAAAATACAATTGTTTAAAAAAAATAATAGTTAGAGGAATCATAAAAAAAATATGAAAAACTGACAATTAAAAAAGTAGGCCTACAGCTAGGAATCTGTCTAAAATTTGTTATATTAAGAAATACATTAATGTAGTTTAAGACTTGTGCAATTTTTATTACGGGAAAACAGGAGTGGAAAATTCAACTTTCATTTGGCCATTAATCAATAGTGTGTAAATGTAGAAATTGTGCAACAGCTTGAAATATCATAAAGAAGGTCTGCACATGTCGAGATTATATACCTACAACCCCAACCCGCACAGCTACAGGTATACACACAACAGTCCTTGCAGCCGATGTGTGCATCCCCGCATTTATGAATGATTTTGGCAATGTGCTGACGGATCGCTGTATCATACTGTATACATTGCAGTACATGCAGCTAGCTAGTAGGCATATACGTGCACTATTCACAATCCAGCTTCATGCCTCATGTGTTCTTGGTCTTTTTTATCTGCAAAATCATGAATTCTGTTTTCCCCGGCTAATCTACAACAGTATGGGTAAGTTTAAGAATCATCTACTTTATTTACAATATGCACATAGATCTAGTCAATGTCTAGTTTTGTATGACATTGTCAACTGGGACTTAAAACACCGAGACCTTCGACAGGATAACAGTTAAGATTGAACATGTATGATCCCATGTACGCAATTTGTTGTAGTATCGTGATGGGTTTATGAGGCATATCATTCAAAGCAAAGTTTGTCCATTTACATACACATTGTCATTAACTATACTGTTAGTATACAGTATAGTGTCATCGTTCGCAGGATTGAAATGTTTTATTCTTTTTAGAAGAAAAAATAGAATACTGCCTAAAAATCCAGCAAATTAACGAATAAAGCTAATTGATGTCTGTCTCTCCTCTGTGACTGCATGTGTGATTTAATGTTGACAGTTGTTGATATTCATATTTGATTTTGTTATAGACTCTAATTCAAAATTGTCTTTTTTAAATTACAGATATGCAACATGACAAATGAGTAGTTTCCATATCGACGTCGTTCTTTATCATCATCTTGACCAATACATCATCGCCACCATCATCATGATTTCGTCGTTGACCTCCGTTTTGGCGTTTGCATTTTGAAGTTTAATGGGAACTCTAATATTGAATAGGACATTGGCATTATCGACTTTTGTTCTGTCTTTGAACACCGTCGATGTCGAACTTTGATCGAAGGTAAGAACCTCCTGTTTACCTTCTTCGTCTTCGATTTGCGTTTCGTCGTTTGCAAGTCTGATCCTGACTTCGGATAATGATGAATTTATCGACTTTCGATCACCGTCGACGTCGAACTCTACCAAGCTTCACCATCGCCATACATGGACTTCACATCCGATCGACATTTCCGACTCTTGGCTTTCATTCATCATTCATTTTTTAACTGTATTATGATTACCGACGTCATTTATGATCTACCATAGCGAGTAGGCTTAGCTACCAATTGTTTCTTCAAACTAAATTCGAGTAGGACATCGTCGACGAATGTCGCACCTCCGCTGGAAGGACAGTTTGTAAAAACTTTACTTATAATATTGCTGTGTGCTGAAAGTGTTTAGTGTCATGTATAATGTAACAAGCGGCAGTCTTTCGCTATAGAAATAGAAAAAGTCTCCCACTCAACCCCCCTCCCCATTTAATACTAAAATGTTGGTGTCAATCAGTGCAACATGCAAAATCACACAATTATTCTGCAATACAATAACTCACCAAAACACGAACGCTGACCAATTAACTCTAGCCCACCAAGTCTTGCCGCTTACAATAGTGAATGGAGTACTCTCACCCTTGCATTTACTATACGAACGATATCTGAAGATGAAAATGTGTCTTCATTCCAACTCCCTGGTCTCCCTATGGCACGGCACTCTGTCAAACCATGGACCTATTACGGATGGACATTCATTGTGATTGTCTCAGTCAATGTCGTCTCAATAACATTCCGTACATGTTTCTTCCCTTTGGTCTCATCATGGTCGCCGGAAAAAAGCCGGGACAGAATCAAGATTCTACAAGTGATTTTACACATGTTAATCTACATGCGCAGAAGAGAATTACTTCCCTAAATCATGGAAAATAGATGTGCAGTTCGGAAATTGTTGTTCCGTGTACTGTACCTTCTTTTTTTTTTTTTGAAAAACATGTTGATATTACCAGATAGAGGTTATTTTTGGATTTTTGGGTTGTGATTTAAAATCCCGTTTCCCCCTATTTCCTCATAATATTCCAGAGTTACAACGCACAGGGCTAATACAGATCATGGCCTTCTAATTGTTTTATAAGGTCATAGGTGTGTGCGAAAGTTTGCGAATCAGTAATAATACATTTCATATCACCAAAATCGTCTGCCTTTCAACTTTGCTGCTCCCCATTGGGGATGCTTCTATTTAAGACACACCATCCAAACAAAACCCAAGAGAGGGAAACTGCTCCTTTGTCAATGACCGAAAAAACTTACGCAGTCGTTACTGTTGAAACAGCTGAATGTTCTCATTAAGATGCACATAATCAGAAGGCGGCGACTATGATTGGATCAAAGAAAGAATCACGTTGAATGTCCATCCGTATTAAGTCCATGGTCAAACGCATGCACATACCCTGGGATTTTTTTTTTTTTTTTTTTTTTTGGGGGGGGGGGGCATATTAGACGTATGCGTACAAATCATGGTTGACCGGGTCAATACCTCCTCAGTAGTTGACCAGCGAGGCTTAAAGCTATGGTCACAACCCCCCAAAAGTAGCCTGGTCGGCGGCCGGGCGACGAGTTTTTAGCCAATTACGCCCAGACAACGAGGGGCGGCCGCCCGGGCATTGCTTGTTTTTAGGGCATCGCTTGGTCGACGCTTAAGTTTGAGCGCGGATTTAAAATTCGGCGGCGCCTGCTCACTATCCACTCGCCGCCCTAAATACGTTCGGTGCCCTTGCCCTCGCCGCCCAGGCACCGACCTAATCGAGCGTTCGCCGTTGAGCGATATAGGTCAAAAGTCAGAGCTGCTAGGTCAAGGGTGACGAGCGGTCGCCGCCCGGACGCCCCCCGGTCGCTGCTGGGAGATCAGTCGGTCACGGGGCGACGAGTTAAAAATCGGTCGGCAGCCTTAGACCTAGCGGCTTCGATTTTTTGACCTAAATCGCTGGACGGTGCATGCTCGTCTAGGTTGATGCCCGGGCGGCGATCGCCCGGGCAATTTCTTGCATATCAGTCGGTGGCCGTTTGGAAACCGCTCGGGAATCGGTGGGTCATCAGTCGGTCACACCGGGACGCCGTTCGGAGAAGCTTCCGATTTCGCCAGTTTTGACCTAAAATCGACCGGCGACCGACGGGAAACCGACAAGGCACCGCCCAGGCATCGCTGGGGCTCTACAGCCTACTCTACTTCTCCAAAAACCATTGGGCGATGCCTAAATTCCGGTCGGTCGCCGCTCTGAGTTGATACCATAGCTTTAGCATACAGAGTTTTCAAGCTAGTGACTACATGTATATTTATTACGATTCGACTGGACTAGGCGTATAATTATAGGATTTCCCGGCCAAATTCGCGAGTTTGCATTTAAGTTAGCGCAGATCGGCTTTGCCATGCCAATTATCATTCAATTTTCCCGTTTTGGTATTTAAATTAGGATCTTGGTCGAAGGGTTTCATAGATCTGTCATTTAATTTAGAAACTGCTCAACTAGCATTCAAATTAATCGTCACTTGTCACACACGTTTACAGTTTTAAAAAAATGCAATTAAATGCATGATTTGCCATTAGGGTCTTTTCTGTTATTCCATTTATTAATTTTGAGGACAATGCATATGGGTGTAGTTAGTCATTAGGTAAAGAAGGGGCGCAA